TAGCTCCACAATTAACACATTCCCGACCTTCTGCTAAACACAAAGAAAAATTCAATTGATTAGATGATTTTTTTTCTTTTGTCTTCTTTAATTTCAAACCTTGACTAGGTTTTTTTTTTGATGTAAAATTTTTCGTTTGAGAATCCGATGATGATGATGATGATTTCATTGTTGACCAAAGTATTGAAGAATCTTTAAGTACATGTCCCCAATTATGATGTGAATGTTGATAAATAGATGAATTTGTTGTTGGAGATATATTATGATGATGATGATGATGATGTTGTTGTTTATTTGATGTATCAAGTAATGTATCATGTGGAAGATCTTTTGGTGGTGTTGGAGGATAATATATTTGACCAAATGATGTTGTTGCTGTTGATGATGATGATGGATTTGTTGTTGAAGAAAAATTTGTATGAGCATGTGGAGGTTGAGAATGTGATGATGATGAATAAGGAAATGTTGATGATGTTTGTGATGGCCAATTACCAACAGAATATTTACTTGGATCAACCCATGAAAGGGATGTAAGAGCTTGAAAATAAAAAAAAAAGAGAAAAAACATTATTTTCTGATATAGTTATTATTTAATTTAATTTACGTGCTGTTCCATATGGTCGATAATAGTCTACACTTGTTGTATAACAATCTGTTGGATAATTTGACCATGTATTACGATGATTTGATGATACTTCAAATGTATCCATATTTAGATCGATCTAATTAAATAAAGAATGTAATGATAATAAAAAAAGATTTTATTGAAAATAGTTGATATCTTGTCTTTGATAGGATCTTATGTTGAAACTACAAGTTACACGCGTCGACCGGTGGTAGAGATAACAACAGCAACAACATTTTTCTTTCTTTTTTTTTTTTGTATGTATATATATATATGACTGAAGAGATAGTATAATTCGTTTTTTCCTTTTTTTTTTCTTCTATGACTTACTGTTCTTCCTTTTTATTAATGGTTTGATGTGCAAGGCAATTTTTATGTCTTCTAGTTTCTTGTTCTATGGTAATGTGTAACGACTGATGAGATAAATTCACTCATGCGAAAGGAAGAAACATCAATTTTCTTTTCCCCCTAATTTTTTTTTTTTTTTTTGTTGTTCTGAAGTTATTTGCAATAGGATTGGTTGATTGATTAAATACTTGATTTTGTCCAATGATAAAAGAGAGAAGAACGTTATCTGATTGGAAAAAAGAAAGTACAAAGAACGAGAGAAAGAGAAGGAGAAGAAGAAAAAATATATATATATATGTCGATAATTATGAGGGTATTTTTAGTCAGTTCATGTTAATGTTTACGTATAAACAAACTTAATTATTTTTGTATAATCAGAAGAAAAAAATAAATAACAAGAACGCAAATATTGATAATTAAAGAAAACATTAAATATATTGGATTTGTGAGTCGTCGATTTATATCTAATTTTTATTAATCAAGTTAAATTGTTAAGCGGCATTTTTGTCAAATATGTTTGAAGACATTTAACAAAAAAAAAAAACCTGATGAATGATGTCACAGTTCGAGTTTTATATACATTCATAACATACGCTTAATTTGTCATCTTCTATACCACCTACGAAGCATTCTTAGTTTTTTGTTCTTCTAAATGAATATATCGATATTAAACTATTAATAAATAATGATTATCAAAAAAATATTTCCGATAGGATAGATCAAGTCAAAAATGTTTTATTAAATAGCAAAGAGGAAAAAGAAAAAGAAAAAAAAATCTAAAGATTCACATCATGTTAGTTACATTTGCTTGATGACGTTGATATTTGTTTATCTATATATTCGATCAATCATTGAATTAATCGATAGCATACAAAAAGAAAAGGAGTGAAAAGGAGTGTGACATACTATCATATAGGTATGCATATATGTATATATTCAATAAAATCATTTTCGAAACGAAGAATAAGAGATAGAAGCAAGTTCATTAGATGACAGTTAATCGACAAGCGAACAAACGAGTACAACTGTCAAATCAGAAATCCAAATGTAATTGAATCAAGATATTGATTAGAAGAATTATTATTTAGACCACAAGTTTTCTTCTTTTTTTTGTTATTCATTTTCTTTGTATCAAAAATGATAATTAGATCATTTGTAAAAGAAAGAAAAGAAAATCCGAGCTTCGTTTGAAAGAAATGAGCCATATACATATGCCCGAAGGTAGGCGTTACCGATTCTCTAACACACACATATATATATATATATAGCTGATGTGTAAAAGAAAAGAACTAAGGAAATGAATGACAGACAGATGGATGATTATGAGTGTGTTACATACATTGTAATAGATAGACACACTTGCCAGAATAACAACGACAGTTTGGTTCAATTCAATTTTGTTGTTATTGTTGTTGTTCTACTTTGACGCGTATGGTTAAAAAAGAAAATCTAATCCTTTCACAGATATTTCAATATTCTTAGACTTTCTTTTGAGCTACATATACATATATATATCTATATATCTATATATGTATGAATTAATCATTAAAACGGGTTCATTTCAATGACAAGATCCTCCCATTTTAAAATGTATGTTTGACATAAAGAGAGATCGATGAGTGTCTCTATGTTTCACTTATAATTATGAATGTTAAAAAAAGAGAGACTATATATACATCAATGATAGGATGTCGTCACTGAATATACATAGGTAGCAGCTGACTAACATTCATCAATACAATGTTTCTGATAGATATCTATGTTCTGTCTTGAAAACAGACTAAATACATGTGTATGACTATGAAATCCGTCATGAAGAAGATGCCATCGTATATATCTCTAGAACTATTTATATCGATCGTTCTTTTTTTTTTTGCTTTTCATTTCTACGTTAATAGTTGAACTAATCGAAATCTCCGCCTATTGAAATTATAATTAACCCATAATGATTATTATGATGAATAAACACAAAATTGTAAAAAATAGTTAATGATAGACTACGAAATATAATATTCTTGACAATAATCAATTGTGTATAGATGTATATTTTTTTTGTTGTTGTTGTTGTTTTGAATATAAATATTACGTTTTCTAATTTATTCGATTTAATTTAATATAATATAATTAAATTTGATCGTTTCTTTTTTTTTTTTCAATTATTTTAGATTTTCGAAAAAGATAATGAAAACTATTATTATCAATGAATATGAATGAAATGAAAATAGATCTAAATAGTTTCTGACTAGGGAACCTCTCCAAGTATCAAGTCGTTTTTCAATCGAGATAATGTTCATTTGATGAGTATTAGTGAGTGTAATAGAAAAGTCTAGAAAGATTTGGTTGTCTGAGCCTTTGTTCTTGGGTTATTGGAATTTAACTGGATTTTTCAACAAAAAGTTGTGATCACGTGAAGCATCGACTTTCAAGTTCAAGTATTGATATTGATATTGAAGTGTTGGTTTTACTATTGATTCTGATAATTGATATTAAAAGAATAAAATCACAAGTATTTTCTTGTAAATCTTATTATATTTATATCTTTTTTTTTGCAATCAATTTCTAATAAAACATTATATATTGATCAAAAATCAGATATTTTCTAAAAACAATAAATTGATAATAATCAATATTTCTTTTCCTTAAATTTTTCATAATTTAATAATAATTGTAGACCAGAAAATACGTTTCCAACAAATTATAATTGAGAAATAAGTGTAGATTAATAAAAAATTCGCCTGAGAGTTTATTTCATTTGTATACACTAAAAAAGGGTTTATTATTCTATATTTATTTCAGTTCATACAAAGTTTTCAGAGTATATTTATTTCGATCGAAACAATCTTTGTTTATACATGTCGCAGTAAAACATTTGCTTAACTAGAAAGCATATCGCTGTTTCTTTTTATAAATCATTCATCATACTTCTAACACTCTCTGCGATATTAGGAGTTTATTTCGAAAAAAAAAACAAATATAATAAAGTATACACAAAATACAATCATGATTTTATTCTTTTAATACCAATTTTCGTACTGCGATACTTCGAGATTTATACCAAGGTCAAAACTCACACCCACGTCCTACCCCAAAGCTGAAGGGAATCAGAGGTGAGTTTTTCATTGAGAAGAAAAGTTTGTGAAAATATTTCAAATACAAGAAAACTAACTTGTTTTTGGACACTGATTCAGAATATTATATTAGCTTTCATCTAAATCATAATTTTCTTATCAAAATCTACTGAATACCAATAGAAAAAAGACTCAAAATAATGTCTCGAAAACAGTCTCATTCGAACTTCTTTGACTGATCATTATTCTTTCCTCGATATTTTAAATGCTATTTTGTAGTGCTTGAGAAGTGCTATCGTTCATGAGACGGACTGACAAAAAGAGCTAATTATTATCCATAGTCGGGTTCACTGTACGTGGAACAACCTTTTACTATTTCAATCGCCATATACACAGCAGTTTCCTGAAATTTAGACAATACTATCAAATTTCCACAACTGTCAAAATTCATAAGAAATTACGACAATATCATTTATTGCTGAAAATTTTATTGTCTCAAGCTCGATGGAATTTGGACAATATCCACAATGATTGAAAAACAACTGATTTATTATAGTTTTTATTTCTGTGTATATTGTTTGAATTTCATCTGAAAAAATTCTGGTTTACCATGAACAGAAAAAACAAGTGTACTATGACTAAAATTCTACCAGGATTCACTTTCAGACATCTTGCGTGATAGCTGTGACGTCGAAGAAGTCAAATTTCTCGAAGGTGGGAGGCCAATTTCAACTGTTATCAAACCTTACCTTTCAACTGATGTTACTTTTGAATTTTGCATGTTTTTTTTCCTTATCATAAATGCATGTGACTCTCTGTAATCGAAACTTGTTGCTTTTTGATATGTATCTGTTTATGTATTTACTCATGTGATACACTTATATATATATATTTATCTTTTTGTTTTGTATCTTCTCACTCTGCTGTTGACCGATTTACGTGTTTTTGTCATCAACAACATGTTTCTTATCTATATAATTCATCTCATTATTTGCTATCAATTATTGGTAGCATTTCCGACTAATTTCGGTAGATTTTTATTTTTGAAATATTTTTTGTATTTCATTAATCTTAATATATATTTTCTAGGTCGTTATGACTTATTTGGAAATAAAAATGATGATGGAAACACACGATTCTTTATTATTGGTGATTGGGGTGGAATACCATTTCTGCCATATAAAACTCCATCAGAAGTTGCCGTAGCTAATGCTATGGGTAAATTAGGTAAAAAATTAAATACCAGTTTTCAATTAGCATTAGGTGACAATTTCTATTATGATGGTGTACAATCGATCAATGATCCAAGATTTGAAGTATGGATTTACTTTTTTTGGTCGAAAAAATATTATTTAATCTATTTCTTTTTTTTTGTTTTTTGAAATTTTCTTTGTAGCATACATTTGAACGTGTATTTTCGGCTTCATCATTACAAACACCTTGGTATGTTTTAGCTGGAAATCATGATCATCGAGGTAATGTTTCGGCACAAATTGAATATGGAAAAATATCAAAACGATGGTTAAATTAATGTTGATTATTTTATTTTAATTTTTGCAAAAATATATTTCTATTTCAATAGGACCTTTCCAGATTATTTCTATACATTCAGTCTATGGCAAAGTGATAAACAAAAGAAATTAGTTGATTTTGTCATGCTTGATACTGTCATACTCTGTGGTGGAGGAGATTTATTCGATTGGGAACATACTCCATTGAAAGGTCCTGAAAATAATTTTCTAGCTGAAGTCTATTGGCAATGGGTAGAAGAACAATTTCGTGAATCAACGTATGTACACGATCATAATTATATCTAATTCATATTTTAAGCAATTTGTTTTTTTTTTTTATTGTTTTCAGTGCTCCATATTTGATAGTCAGCGGTCATTTTCCAGTATATTCAGTTGCTGAACATGGTCCAACTAAATGTCTTGTTGATCGTCTTTGTCCATTACTTCATCAATATCGAGCAACAGCATATCTTTGTGGTCATGATCATAATCTTCAAGTAAATATCTTTTTTTTTTTTTGTCTTCACTATATTAATATAAAATAATTTTTTTTCTTCTTCTTATTTTAAAGCATTTGGCTGATGATTTAGATGGAACACATATGAATTATTTTGTAGTTGGTGCTGCTGATATTGCAGAAAATAATCACAATCATGCCGATGATGTACCTGTTGATTCACTTAAGTATTATTGGGGTGGTGAAGTCCTTCTTGGTGGTTTTGGTTTGATTGAAGTCAATAATACTCAAATGACCTTTTCATTTATTGAACATACAGAACGAACATTGTATCAAACAATAATGAAACCGCGACTCTAATAAATAAATTCATTGCTGTCTTGTTTACAACATGACCTATGATAAAAAGATTTGCTAATATATTTTTTTTCTTGAGATAACACGTAGTACTTTGGAATTGCACAATAGCTTATTTTCATTGATCAGAAAGTCTTTTTTTTTCTTCGTTATCTCTGTCGCTCAACTGATTGGATGATGAAGAGAAATATAACTATACCCTCAAACATAAGAATGTAGAACTACAATAAAGATGAACATGTTTTCGAGTTCATTCAAATAGTTTCAAGATTTCGACAATTATTTAAACAAACTGAAAACAAATTATATTTGATATTTGTTTTTATTAAGTTCGACAACAGTTATTGGTGATGGCAACCTTTAATATTCTTAAGGTGTCCTCTATTTTTTGACGATTTCTGGTTCTTGAAGACGATACACCAGATTTTCATGAAATTTTTACCACAGATAGAACATCTAAGATAAGAAGGCATATGTTCGAGAAAAAAGTTTTCAACAAGCTTTTTTTGAAGAAAACTCTGGTTTTTCAAAGGAACACATTGGGCCCGCTTACGATCCCCGTCTAACTTTGTCCAATCGAGTTGAATTTTTTTTTGGAGATACTTTAAATTATATCTCAGAGGTGATTTTAAGCTTTTTCAAAAATTTTGGTTTTTTACGAGAGGAATACGTAAAGACGCATGCGTCCAAACTTGGGCGCTGGTGTTGATGACTTTATAAATTCGGATAGGAAAGTCAAAAACAAAAACGGCCAATTTCAACTCTGAAGAATGCTTTCAAATATCTGTGGTCAAAATTTCAATCCGATTGGAAAGAAGTAAGACAAGCGTCGTAAGCAGACATCACGATGTAATCCTATGGCAAATCCGGGTTTTCTCAAAAAACCTTGTTGAAAATTCGTTTCCTCGAATATGTGTCTCCTTATTTTAGGTGCTCTATTTGCTGTAAAAATTTCATACGCATCGGATATACATTCTTCGAGAATCAGGAACGACGCAAAAAAACGGAGGAGTATCCTCAAGTCAATTCGCTATGAAAACCTTTGATTTTTTAGTGTAGATGAGAATGAAGAGAAGAGCAGGCATGCATCCAAACCGTTCGTGTCATTTTCTCCAAATGAAGAAAAATGTCTTTATCTACTGGGCCATCTGACACAATATTTTTCCGTCGGTAGAAAAATTGAAATAGGGAAATGATACTAGAGAATGTCAAAAGACGGATTTCAGGAACGTTGTTAGACTATATGGTAGAGTCACTGAAAAAATTAAAAGCCAATGAGACTGAGTTCAGATTTTTTTCAACTTTTTTTCTACCTTCTATCAAACTCAAGAGTTCATTGGATCATTCTTCATTTGATTGTCAAAGGCAGAGATTTTTCTATATTTATGGTACGACAGTTTTTGATATAGTTTATAATCAATGAGATAAATTTGAATTATTGAAATTTTATTATTACGTTTGAGTCCATGTCTGGAGAAGACTAATACACACACTCATCTGTGAATAGACGTCGTATGTACTTTCATCTTTTTACATGATTAACTTTTTGGTGCAGAATGTTCTCGTACTTATCGTTCCAGTTTCTTATGATTTTTTAGTCATGACTTTTTCGTAAAGTGAAGAAATTTTTATTTTACTTTATAGAGTGTTTGAAAAAGACTTTATTTTATTTTTTGTAAAATAATGCAATAGTAGATATATTCAAAGATAATATTTACAGTCGAAAGTGTTTTCAGTTTTATTGAATAGAAAGAATTTTCGACTTTTTCAGTGCGGAAAAGTACACAGCGGTTATCATCAACTTGTTTTTAATGTTGTAATAATTGATCACTCATTCACTATCGAATCTTGAAAATGACAATTATTACATAGACTAGACTAGAAAGTAATAGAACATTTTTAATATACAACATAAACTAATGAAGGAACATCTTCAAATGTAAGTCTCAGTTTCGAACTGGATATATACAGTTTGTAGAAGTTAAAAAGCTGATTTTAGTGGTATATTACCTTTTTGCTCATGGGACTCTAAATAAGAAAAAGTGATCGATCTTACTTGTGGAATTATACTTAGGATGAGTTTCGAGATATTGTTAAGAAGTTGAGTCTACAAGGATACTTACGGATCAAATGATCATATTTAAATATGAGCAACGTCATATGTGATAGTCTACTGTCATATTATATATACCGTTCAATTTCTCTTAGATATATAGTTGATAGATGAAAGACAGGATACAATGGCAAAAGGACAATTAGTCACTAGCGATATCTCTCGTTTTATTTCCCAATCTATCGTTGGGAGTTGATCTCTTGTTAATACCCAGCTTAATCTAATCACTTCTATTCAATGTGTTTAAATAGTTTAAGTTTGACTAGAATAGAATGAGAAGAAAAACATATGGATGCATTTTTTTTATTTGACTTATTTCGTTTTATTGTGTTTCTGGTGAAAGAGTATCTTAATCGGTAGTAGATTCAATACTTAAGAATATGCAATATATTTTGTCATTATGTCACGATTCTGACGGAAATAAGAAATATTTATAAATGAACGTATTCAGATATGGGGTATTTTTTTTTGTAGAATTCAAATTGTTCCTTGTGAATTGTTTCAAAATTTTTCCAATCAACTAGAATATGTCTAACTCTTTCCGCTAGTCTTGATGGGAATTTAGTATTTTTTCGAAAGTTCATAGATAGATACCAGGTTTTCTCTGAGAATGTTGCAATTTTAAAGGTCTGTCACAACTGTTGAAAGGACAGTGCATCTGCTACCTTCTCCAAATACATACTGAAATGACTATAATAGGAAAAAATGTAGTCATGAAGGCTCTTTTCTTGACTGAGTATCATCGTTGTTATATCTTCCTATCCTTTAAGTGCATAGACAATAGCAGATCAGTCCAACTTTTATTCTAAGATGACTTCGAATCGTATTTTATCTTATGTGGGAGAAAAAAATGATTTATCTGTGTCAATGAAATCTTTGAATGCCACAAGTTATTCCTACATAGTGATGTCGATTACCAGTACCGCAGGTCATCTAATCAGCCGTGTTTTCATTTATCTTCTAGAACTGAAGAGTCGATTTCCAATTGTGAAAATGATCTCTTCAGCACCAAATATAGTGACAACTTGCAGTTAATCTGGAAAATTAAACAATTCTCCGACAGAATATTGGACTCGAGAGGTTTTAGACAGGATAACAAGCATTCGGTTTCTTCTTCTTTATCGATCAGTGGTCTCCGCTGATTAACATTAGAGTATATGAGAAGAATCTGGCAAAAAGACAATCGAGCAAATTATTGGTAATATCCAACATGAAATCGAGACTCACGCTTAAGGGTGTTTTTTCATAAGACGCAGACATATTATTGTTATATTTTTGAAAGCTATTCTTGAGTTCTCTTGGACATTCATAACTCATCTTTTGTTGGTCTTTATCGGGTCGGTATAACAGTTGTACACAATCAGATCGATGTACTAGTATACCGGCGACATCGGTACCGATATGTCGGTCCGGTTTCCACTCTGACTTGTGATACTATTACCATCCATTATTACACATGCATTCTCTATCTGCAGAACAGCAATCTAAAATGGCTTATTTCATATCGAACAACAAGATAACAAAGGTTATTCCCTCAACTGAAGGGAGGGTCATACGAAAAAAACTAAAATGCGTTTGTGGCTCTGTCTGTGCCAGGGTCAAAGGTCAAAGGTCAAAAAAACATGAGATCACAAAATCTTACTTTCACCCTGAGAAATCACCCAATCACAGGTATTCGGACTTGCTCGTTCGACCAATCAGATTTTTTCAAGCTAAAAAACAGCCAATCAGTGGTTTTCGACCTCGAGCTTTCGACCAATCAGATTTTTTCAAGCTAAAAAACAGCCAATCAGTGGTTTTCGACCTCGAGCTTTCGACCAATCAGATTTTTTCAAGCTAAAAAACAGCCAATCAGTGGTTTTCGACCTCGAGCTTTCGACCAATCAGATTTTTTCAAGCTAAAAAACAGCCAATCAGTGGTTTTCGACCTCGAGCTTTCGACCAATCAGATTTTTTCAAGCTAAAAAACAGCCAATCAGTGGTTTTCGACCTCGAGCTTTCGACCAATCAGATTTTTTCAAGCTAAAAAACAGCCAATCAGTGGTTTTCGACCTCGAGCTTTCGACCAATCAGATTCTTTCAAGCTAAAAAGTCAGCCAATCAGGGGTTTTCCACCTCGGGCTTTCGACCAATCAGATTCTTTCAAGCTAAAAACCAGCCAATCAGAGGTTTTCAACCTCGGGCTTTCGACCAATCAGATTCTTTCAAGCTAAAAAGTCAGTCAATCAGGGGTGTGGGTGTGGGTATGAGGTGGATGGGTGTGGATGTCGCTTGCCTATTTATTCACATCCATATCCGCACTCACACCCACACCTTTAGGTACAGTACAAACAGCATAGGTCAAACAGATTGGTAACAGCATCAGTGAAATGCGACGGTTACGATGAGCACTTATTGCTAATTGATCATTTGTAGATATTTGTGTAAAAATCAGCTTTTTTATTATAAGAAATGTACATGCAAATACAATAGTAGACGGTAGAAAATACATAATCACCACGTGAATCTTTACAAGAAAATGAATGTTAGATTAAATTATATATTTAGTTTAATACTTACCCATGAATATTGAATAGCAAAGAAATTATTGAGTTCATCATTTAATGAATAATAACATGCTACATCGGTTTGTATTATTCGTGTATTATTGTCATATGTCGTATATTCAAAACCTAATGCAAATAAAAATTCATTTAATGCAAATAAAATTATTAAAATAATAACACGAATTATGAATGCAACACTTGGTCAAGCTACTTTAATTTTATACCATCGATCTCTTAATAAATAGGCTCGATCAAGTTCGACAAAAGTAAGAAGCATAGCTGATGTATGTAAAGTATAAAAAGGAAAAAATTGACTCAATATATAAATGAATAATGATCGACCCCATATTTGTTTTTGACCATTTGTGAATGTATATACGGCATTACTTAAATTCCATTGATAAAGTGATATTGTATCCACAAGACATAAAAATATCAAATAGATATTAGTTGATGTTCCTGGATTTTCTTTATTGAGTAAAACAAAAATAGATATAAGATTGCCGACAGTACCAATTACAATAAGAAATATAGGAACAATACCACTTATGATTAATTCAGCTGTTTCGTAAGGAGCTAGATTTTTCTTTCGATACCATGAAGCCATTTGATGCTCACCAGTATGTATACTATATAGTATGTGCTACAACAGAAATCTTGAAATGAATGATGTTATAATAGCTACATTTTTTTTCTTCACTTTTTCTCGGCTTGTTTTCACAGTCAGTGTTCTTGAGTTTTTCTACTCATTTTCCCTTGTCTATTACAAAAAAAGAAAACAGGAAAAAAAAACTTCTATAGTCTTAATCAGATTAATTTTCAAATTGTATCTCATTCACAATATATAGCTTTTGGAACACCATTATTGATAATAGGAATTACTAAAATCCGAAGAAATCTTTTGGAAAAGAGAAAAATTTCAAGCTCTCTTGATTGCAGCTCTCATGAACATCATCCTTGTTTACGAGAATAATCAGAGTGGTCAAATCAGTATAAGTGTTACGAAAATGACAAAATTTCTGTATTAGATTTGAAATAATAAATTGATGCTTTTGTGTTATTAGTAAGTTAGCATGACCATAATGCAAAGAATCATCATAATCTACGAAAGCTTTTTGAAGGAGAATTATATATGTCAGCACATTCTGCGTATGACTACTCGTTTGAAATATTGGAAACTACCAGCAGCGGCAAAAAAGCAGTACCCGATTGATAAGAAAAGAAAAAATAAGTAGATCAGCAAATGCTAAACCTGCTTTGCAAGTATAGTGATTGAATTTTCATTCATTGTTTAAATTTCTATTTAATGTTCTTTTAAAATTCTTCTTATTTATTTTTCTTCTGATAAAATCTTCATTTTTAATCATTAAATTTGAATTTTTTTACTGATAGTTATATATAAAAAGTTGACAACCTTATAAACAATAACAAAGTTAATAGTGCTGTTTCACTGGTCAACTCTGGATCTCGCTTACTCGTGATTAGAGAAGGATCCAAGTAAAAAATTTGTTCGATTGAAATTGATTAAAGTCTAGAAATCTGATGGTCATAAACAAGATCATAAAGTCGACTATTCTATAAGAAAGACAAAATTTAATATCAATTAAAAATGGATTTTTTTTCAAAAATTATAATCAAATTGAGGTTAATTATAAGCTGCCAAACAAAAAAGAATTTTTATTGTTTTTATTTATGGTTTTTTTCCAACTAATCGGATTCATGATTTTAACTATAATTGATTATAAATCAAATATAATCGACAGAAGAATTTGATTTTCAAGGATGTTAATTTTAACTTTAATCCACATGATTTTGATAAAAACTACTCAACATAAATTGTAAATTGATGATGACTTAAAGGGAAACCGCCGTTTTTCAAATAGTTGTCGAAATTCAATAAAATTTGGGCTAATAGTAGAACTAAAATGAGATACATTCATCATAACTTAGAATTCGATATATCTTATTGAAGAGGACTGATAGTGAAAAATATGTCTGCATTAGATTAATGTAATAATAGGAAGAGTTTTGCTTAGTATGATTCACAGCAGGATCAACGCTTTTTAGATTTCACAGCACTAAAAACATTATTTGTCCGAAGAGAGATACGCCTATGTCAAGATCAAAAATTGACTTTCAGCTGAAAAAAAGAGAAAATTTTTCTTATTTGAAGTAAATATCTGCCAAATTGAGGCTAGATTTTAGATCTTGATCTTCGTCAATAGACAGATCAATGTATACAATTACTATAATAATAAATTCGTACTAGAAAATCTTATAAAATATTTCATCCTTCATTTCTTTCAAGAATAAATATATTTTTGGACGCCATTGTAGTCAATTAGAACCTCATTATAGAGCAGCTATTGTATGATGCAAATTACATTTATAAGATTTAGTTGTGCCAATGTTGATATTACCTCCCGTTGGTCTTCCGTTCGTCTTTCCCCTTTATCTTGTCTCTATTGTTCTTTTCTATATTCACATTTCTCTCTTGCTCTCTCCTATATGGGCATGTGCTTTATGTGAGTTAGCTCAATAAGCATCATTACGGAGGGTAGCGATAAGCTACTCCTCCAGTTTGTCTTTACACTAGTATCTTTTGAATTTATATGAGTAAATTGTATTTTTCTTTTTATGAATTATATCAAGTTGCTGAAGTACAAAATGAGCCCTATCTTTATAAGTGGTGTTGAAAAAAAGTATTATAAGAAAAAAAGCGAATTTTGACGATTGTGATGTATTGCTATTCTTCATCGTGTATGTTAGCTACATTTATAGATAGGTCAGTAGGAATATAAGTAGTATGCGATAAAGGTAATATCAATAAATTCAGATTGTATGTATCATTATTAAGACGAAATCTTAGAGAGTAACTACCTATGAAAAGCTACACATGGGTCTTATTTGTACCATAATTAGTATCTAGAAGATTTGTGAAAAAAGACGGATGATAAATACAACTGGTTTCAGTACTACATCAGGATTTCAAAGCCATTCTAATAGATAAATGTTTTCTGTTATTACTTTTCTTGTTCTTTTCGGTGTGTGTTGTTTCGTGTAAACCATCCCCAAATCCTTCTTTTGTAGACATATTCACGTCATCCAAATATGATCCATTGTCGCAGTCATAGTTAGCATAACTCTTGTGAAGAATATTACTACTGGATAAAATAAAATTAGAACAATTACATTGATAATAATAATCCATTTGATATTACTCAAGCAGCCTATTGTCAATGCAAAGCAACAGACCTAAAACTATCGAATTTTATGCACATACTGTCAGTGTCGTGTGATATCTATCGTTTGCACATCATGAGAACATCACTATTCTTGATTATCATAATCATTTGCACTCACTATTTCTATCACTGTTGGAATAACACAATGTTCAAAGATAGAAACTAGCTCGATAAAATAATAGTGTTGACGATGTTGTGCATTGTTTTTTTTTCTGTCATATAATAAACATTGATTTTTGGTCAAATCACAAATATACTTGCAAATGTACGCCAAAACTAGGCGTGGAGTTCCGCAAACTCCAGTAATGGTTACAATTTAAAACGATTTGCTCGATCTGAGGCACAGATTGTATTTAAAATAGTATAGAATATACAATAGCTGCCCTATGATGAGGTTCTAATCGGCTACAATGACATTCAAAAATATAGTCATTCTTAAGAGGAATGAAGGATGAAATATTTTATAAGAATTTCAAGTACGAATTTATTATTATAGTAATTGTATACATTGTTCTGTTTATTGGCGAAGATCAAGACCTAATATTTATCCTCAATTCGGCAGATATCCACTTCAAATGAGAATTTTTTTTTTCTAACAAAAAGTGAATAACCCTTACATAAACCAGTCGAGTATAAATGAACTATAACTGTGCTGTACAGGTTCAAAATGGATGAACCATAATTCTTTGTCCTCTACACATAAGAGACGATCTATCATTTGGTGATTTGCTACTTCTATAACACGATTAAGATACATGAATAATCGAGTTATTTCATTCACATTGTTCACATTTTACATAATTATTTGTTAAGACGACGTAATTTTGAGATCGTAAAAATCAAACATCTGAAGCAAGTCGACAAAAAAAGTAGGAGTGAAAGTGTGCTCTCTGTGTGTGGATGTGGGTTATTCTTCTTTAATCAACCACAACTACACTCACACCAACACCAACACTCATATCCAAACCCACACCTACACCCAGCTTAACAGATTTTGCAATAGAAAAAAATCAATCGGCAATTACGTCTTGTTGAAGTATGAAAGAAGAAAAGTGTACTTCTCGTCGCCCTCTTTGTATACAAGATAGAGTAGCTAGACAAAGCTCTCCGAGACCACAGATCATGACAGAGATTTCAAAAGGTTTGCCTATCTGGCAGTTACGAATAAGCGTGTAGGTGTTTCCATTGTTGCTAGCCAAATCAACATCAACACTCACACTCCTGTCAATTTATTCACTTAATAGAGTGATAATGCGTGTCGTATATTTTTTAGCGCTTCTTTAATAGATTGATATTATGATGAATTCGTTCAGATGAATATGAACAACTCTAATCAGATATACGAATCTAATTTAGTTTGGTAGTCCATAATCAATTTTCGTAACCAATAGGATTCGTGTTCGAATAGAGAATGACGTCGGATCATGAAGCCATAGAAGGGTGTGGGTGTGTATCCTCTTATCATCTACAACCGCAGCCACACTACACCTACACCCACACCCTCAATTTATAATTAGGATAAAATTTATCTTTTGCATTTTTGCCAAAATAACATGAGTGCCGTTTTTTCATTTATTTTCGAAGTGATATTACGCAGTCGAAGTTTCATTTATATTCGAACTCGAATTAGGCATCTCATGCAATATCAACATGGATATCATCGAGTCCACTCTAACTCTGAATCCTACAGACTTTATTGAGACTGTACGTCTCGATTCCCATGAAAATCCTCAAATTAGGACTTGATGGACACCATAATTTTAACAGTATCGTTCGTATGAAATTCAAGATCCCATATATTCTCCATTGAATTAGTTTATTAGATTACGAATAAACAATCACCATCTAATATAAAGTTTTCATTTTCAAATTCAAATTTAACATCAAAACGAACAACAGCTAATAAAAATAAAGAATTTATGAAATTAATCGTTCAAAAAGTACGCATGTGTAATAAAAATGGTGATAATTTTCAACAAGTATGGATTCCTTATTCAATATTAAAATTTATATCTATTTCTTTGTTTTATTTCACTTTGGACAATTGAACAATTTTCTGCTGAAACAAATCGAACAACATTTAGTATTACTTGATAAAATAAACGAAATTGAATTATGATAAGCACAAAATCGTTTTCAATCACGACGACAAACACTAAAGTTATCATGAATTCTTCGTTTTGTTTTTTATTGCTGTTTGATTAATTCTATGGTAATATTAACAAAATACAACGCATTCTTCCCTTTTCTTTGAAAGAGATAGAGATAGAGAAAATTGATATTAATGTATATAAGGATAAAAAAAAGTGAATTTAATTAAGGTTTTTTTTCTCTTAATCATGAAGTTGGTAAAGTTAATGCA